AACTATCTAATTTAATAATATTGAAAAGGTTATTATAAGTTTAATCAATGATGGAGTCATTTCCGACCCTATAAATCATATATATTCTTGATCAGCATCAACAGGCGTATCTTTCTAGCTATGTTTTGAGGAAAACAAATTTTTGATAAATTTTTTCAAAATTTTATAGGAGATGCCATCGTTTCAAAATTGGAAAAATTGATTTTTTTAAAATATTAAATCGAGCATGCAGATTTATTAATCAAATAAAAACTAGCCTGGGAAAGCTTTCCGAATGAAAATTAATGCATTTTTGGCTTAGTTATGAGCTTCTTAAATTTTGATTTGTTGAACATTTTTTCTAGATTATCGATTTCCGATTCGATTCGATATTATTTGTACAGCAATTTAAAAGCTTTCTTAAATAAGACTAAGAGTAGTCGTTAAAATACAAATTATTGAGTTTCCTTAATTTTAATTATGTTTTTGTTGGACTTGAATCCTTTTTAGATTTCCCTCTCTCAAGCCATGTCAATTAAATTTTGTGTCGGCTCCTTGCACCCTTTTTTTTTAACACCTAAGCCCCATCCTGCCTAACCCTTTGGCCACCACCGCTCCTCCTTTTGACCCTCTCATGTTAATTTTTATGACGTACTTGAAGTGAGCCATAAAATGAGAGGGCGGCTTCAAGGGGAATTCGGTGGGTGTACATGGGGGATGAACTCTTAGAGCTGCAACAAATTAAAATGTATAGTCGCCTCCGTACAGCTCCTCCCGCTTTTCCACTTTTCCGCTCCTCTGCTTTTCCGCTTTTCCTGCCGCTGCTGCTGCGGCTGCTTCTGCTGCTGCTGCTGCTGCTGCTGCTGCTGCTGTTGCGCTTTGTGGGGCAAGGTGAGCGTCATCCTGTGGCATCGTTTGTCCTGCTCTGCTTTCCCGGCCCACTTTGGTGGTCGGTCACTCAGGCGCCGCTGCCGTCAGCACACTGAGAGTAGAGTTTTAGAGTTTATTAAAAGGATTTTCTTTTACTTAATTGTATTTATTTACTTCAGAATTTTCACTAATGCTGTAATCAAATTTTCTTCTAAATTGAATGCTTTATTTATTGTTAAACTATTTTAATATAAATTGTATTTATGGCAAAAGTTAAAGAACTGTTTTTCTGCCAGTGCAGCTGCCACAGCCACGTCCAAATAGTTGTAGTTTGGTCCTTGCCATCAAAACTCCTCTCGTTTTTCATGTGTTGCAAGGTGCACAGCGAATGGACCATGGGGGAAATGGGACTAGGGGCTAGGGGCAAGGAGCAAGGGGATTGGGGCAGGTATGTGGCAGGCAATGTGGCGATGGTGGCAACTGTGTCAGGCTGCTGGAATGGGGGCGCCATATTAAGGGGCGTGGCGACATACCATTTATTATAAATAGGCAAGTGCGCTGAGAGGCTTGACTTTTCCTATTTCCTACCCTTTTCGGGTGTTCTTCATTTTAAGGGTTCCTCCTCTTAGGGCTTGTGACGTCAGTGTCACCAGCATCACCATCACCACACCATCACAGTTAGCGTCAGCATCACCATCAGGAGCGAGTTGCGATTGGTCCTCGAAATGTCACTGTACAGTGCGTTTCAAAAGTGTTTGACTGTCGGGGATCATTCAGCCGGAGACACCACGGATATGTGAATTGACTGACTCGGTGTCGCGTCTCGATTAGCATTGTCAGTAGAAATCGATTTCACTGACCTATATGGGCAGTATATTCGATAACTTTCAGTTAATTTTATCAAGTTTGCAAAGGAGTGGGGGAGTACTTTTTTAACCTATATTCTTGATGAGCATCAACAGTCTAGTCGATCTAGACTCGAGTTTATTTTTCTACATTTTATGAGGTGTTACAAACATTGGTTTCTTTCTTCTTTTTTTTTAAATTGAAAACTACAATTTGGTAACAAATATTAACAACAAAATTATATAATTTGTACTCATTGGTTTCTAAGCAATTTAATACCTTGCCTGACTTCATTTTTCTACAACTTCCAAGGCTTTTTTCTGTGAATTCAATGTGCAGACAAATAGCCAGAATATCCAGGATGCTGCAGTTACTTTATGTTCGGGTCATTGTTTGCTGTGAGGCTTACGTGGTAATCCATCCTTTTGTACTCCTTGGCACTCCTGGCCCCTTACTCTTGCTGCATTGTCCTGCTTCCCCATCTGCCCGACATTGGATCAGCTATGAATTTGCGTCCATTATCCCCTGGGGCAAAAAGAGGCAAACAGGCAAACAGGCAACCCGGCAAGTTGCAGTTAATTATATGCATTATAAGCGAGCAAAAAGGATGGCAAGAATAACATGAGCATCCAACAAGGAGCTGCTCCTGCGGCGACCAGAGCAGGATAAGCCAGGCAATGAAGAGTGTTAACTGTAAAGAGATGGCGGCAGGGAATTATTATTGGCTTTAACTTGATGCCAGATTACTCAGAACTGGCAAAAACAAGTGAAAACTGTGAAGAGTTTAGCTTTTCTTTATAGGTTTAATTTGTTAAAGTTTGTTAATTATCTATCAAAACAAGCCTTAAATAATGACATTGTGATATATCAATACTTTATTTCCAAAAAGCAAACTTAACAGCTTTTTAAAGTCTTCAAATCGTGTCTGGAAAAAGGACATTTTGGCAGCACTTCCTGTCGCCTCCTTTTTCATCTGGGCCACTGGGCAAGCTCCTGCTGCTGCTTCTGTTCCTCCTGTTCCTCCTGTTCCTCCTGTTCCTCTGCTCCTCCTGCCTCTACTCCTGGGCCACGCATTAAAGCCAGAAAATTCATAAATGCCTGAGAGCGTTCCTCGCTTACATTGAAGTGTTCGCTCTCCCCCTAATAAGCACTTATGCCAGGAGCAGCAGCAGCAGCAGCAACATCAGGACATACCGACAGCCCGACAGCAACAACAAGGAGCTGGAGGAAGGTTGGTGGCCAGCACAAAGAAGCTGTCGTTGCCATAGCTTGAATTTTAATGAAATTAAAGATTACTGAGCTCAGCTAGCGAAAGCGAAAGCAAAAGCAGAAACAACAGTGGCAGCAAAAGCAGCATCTACATTGGGAAAAAAGCCTGAGCACAAGCAGCACGAGCAGCAACACAGGGGCTTAGTGTCAAAAGGGGGCTTTCTCAATGAAATCCATTTCCACGGGGATTTTAGCTGGGAATTATCCCAGTAAAATCCATCTTGACTCAAGGTAATGACATTTAAAAAACTATTTACAAATGGGGGAAATATAGTCAGGGCTTGTGATTAAATAAAATAAAGGTTGAACCTTTGTTTTAGGCAAGGATATTTGGAGTTTAAACTGTAGTTGTTATTAAATTATATTTACTTGAGTTGTTCATTTTAGTTTCTGTTCCTCCTAATGCTCCTACTGCTCCTGGTGCTCCTTTTGATGATGTTTATGTAGACAGCAAACAGCACACAGTTCCTTCTTGGAATTCCACCGTTGATTATTCCTGCTTCCTTGATTCCTAGCTATTCATAATCCTCATGTTTCAGTTGCTCCTTGTGCTACAGCTGCTGCTGCTGCTGTTGCCTCCTCAATCCGATCCTAATGAGCCTGTTCCTGTCTGCCGCCTGTCCCTGCTATGGCACTCACTCGGTGTGTCCTCCCAATTGAAGGAGGAGGACGAGGAGGAGCTTCAACTGGAAGCCAGGAGGTGAACTTCCTGCACTTTGTAATTAGTGCGTGTTGGACAAGTGAATCAACTTTGCTGCCAAGTTTGTTCGGCTGTCTTCTTTAATTAGTCAATTTGTAGCTGCTGCACTGGCAGAGTCACAAGCGGCATTTGGTTTGTTATTCCTCGCCTGGATTTTATTGCGGCCTCATTCGAATACCGGGCCCTGATAATTGGCTAATCGAGTTGCGTAATTGAGGCAGCAGGCTAATTGAAGGCAGGTCGACTGCCCCGGCTCCTAGTCCGGCTCCAGCTCCCTTTCCCACTCGTTAGGGGTTGCACTTAATCAGGATTGGATCTTATGGTTTTGTGGTGTTACCCAATGAGTTATGTGCGAGTTATGGCAATTATCTGGAACTTGATGCGCAATTGTAGTGCATATAACCCAGGAGAAGAACTATGCTTTTGCCGTTCACCCCTTGCATTACGCATACGCCACGTTGTCTGCTGCTACTTGAATTTCATAATTAATGGCGAAACTTGCGCAAATTTTGCACAACTTCTGCACAAATGCACAAATCAATGGCGACAAGGGAGCAGAGTGTTAGCAGAGAACAGAGGGAGAAGAGCCATGTTGCACGTAGCACCGGGCACGTTGCGTATACTTAATGTTACCAAATTCAAATTAGCACAAAAGTGCATTATTAATGCAACTTGACAGGCAAATTTGCATTGGAAATTGCGGTTAAAGTAACGATAAGACAATTGGCCTTGAATCTCTTGAACGAACATTTGTTCGATATAATTGATTTACCTTTTGAAATGCTGACGCGTTTCAATTAGTTATCATTACGTGGAACTGTCATTAATATTTCGAGGCCTAATTGCATTTTCAAATGATGTTTTAATTTTTTATATCCTCTTTGTGTGTGTATCTGTGTGTGTGTGTGTGTGCGTGTGTGTGTGCGGTAATTAGGTCTTGATGTTATCGGCACCCAAATTTAATGGCTTTCAATTAGTCATGATAATACCTCATTTTAATTTGTGCATAAGAGTATGAGTATTGATTTGTGCATTATCTATCCTTGAGATATTGTCTGAGAGAAATAAGTAATGAATTTGTAGGAATTTCTAACTTTACCTTCCTAATTAAAGATGGAAACAGTTTAATCAGACTTATAATGAGTTCTTACAGAACTTGAGGTATATTTTGCAAGGGCTAATTACCCTTCTAATTAATTTTGTGTACGAATAGCATAGTGCATATTATTCACTTTATGTTTGGCTATAAACAAACTCAAATTAATTCATAATTAATATTTTCCCTACTGATATCTCTCTTTCTAAATCTCTATTTACATCTCTTTCTATCTTACAGTGCCATATGCAACCGATAAGACTGTGTGAATGGTCAAGTGGTCATCAGCATCGAAGCGATTTTCTCTCAGTGTGCGTGACTGACTGAGTGCGTCGTGTGTGAGTGAGAGAGCCAGAGAGAACGATAGAGGGAGACGTGAGAGCTAACGCGAAAACGTGAGAGAGAAGGAGAGAGAGAGAGAGACGGAGTGAGACGAGATCAAAATGACGGACGCTCGGGGCAGCGGCGTCCCCGCTGCGGAATTCGTATGAGCTAGATCCCAGCCAGGTTCCAAGGAGGAAGAGATCGGTTCCTGTTCCAGAACGGCGTTCTGGATCCAACGTACCAACCTGTGGAAGGTGGAGGGGGAGCCAGTGAACCCGAACCAAACCCGTAACCATAACCGTGACCGTAACCCAAACCAAAACCATAACCAGGAGCAACCAGGAGTTCCTCCGCCGGCCATCTATTCATCAGCTGACAAGTGTCATCCGTCAACACCTGTCAGTTGTCAGAGCAACTCAGCGCCCCGGCCAGCAGCAGCTGTCAGCGGAAGCGGAAGTGGGTGTGAAAGCAGGAGTGAAAGTGGAAGTGGTACTGGCAGAACACCGGGATAGCATAACCAGGAAAAGGAACAGGAACAGTTGCGGGAACAGGAGCAGGAGCAGGAGCAGCAGAAGCAGGCGAGGATTGGTGTAGGCGGCAAAATGCCTGGCGGACGACGTGGACTGGTTGCGCCGCAAAACACATTCCTCGAAAACATCATCCGGCGATCCAACTCGCAGCGTGAGTATTTCAAATATTTCCATATCCTTTTGCGTTTCCCATTTTCCCCAGAATTTTTATTCACGAAACAAAAAACCAAAATCCAAGTTGAAAGCTATAGTCGCCACATGTCTTTGAAACACGATGAGTCTGTGATTTAGTTTGGGGAATTTCATGAAATCGTAATCAGCGTGCTTTCTTTTCGAAAATATAATTCTAGAGGGTTAAATATTATCTATAAATTGACAATATATTTTACATATTTCTAGATTTAGCGTGCTTACCGAAAATATTATTCTAGCCGGTGAAATATAGGATTTTCCATTGATTTTATCGAATTGTATTTTAAATTTATGTAAAAGGCATACCTTTCTCTCCATTTGCTACCCTTTTCGTTAACATCGCGTCACACCCTTGTAAATCAGCAAACAGAAATTCACCAAACATTCCATTACGCACGACCTTTAACCTTAATGGCAACATTTCGATGCATCCCATAATCGATTCTCCGTTTGCAATCGACATTTTTCGCATGCCACACAATTATCGAGTGGGGCAACGGTTTGCAAAAGGCAAAAGGAAGAGTGGGATGGGTTGTAACCTTTTGCTGTCTGGGAAAGTGTGAAATGAATTTTCCGTTAAGTTGTCAACGTGAACAGGATGCTGGATGGGCAACCGTAGTAGAGTCCGGAGTGAAGAGAGTGCTGGGGAAAATGAGCCATAAATAGAGCAATGCCAATGTGTGTGTGTGACCAAGAAATGTCCGTTTCGTTTTGTTCTGTGAAATCGAATTGTTTTACTGTGAAAACTGTGCAAGGGGAAAGCCGGAAAGTGGAAAATGGAAGGTGCTGCTTCTGTGCAATTCCAATCCCCAGCATTGAAATCCCTTTTTGGCCTGCGGTCAATGGCAACACTTTCAATTAGGTGGGGCCAATTGTGGTCAGGTCCTGCGAAATGGTAAATGGAAAATTGGAAAACGGGAGGCGAAGGACTGTCGATCCAGGATTGCCAACTGTTTAAGCAAAAGAGTAAGCTAGCTGGTCAGGACATCAACGACTCACAAGCCCATAAGTGGTTGTCGTCATGGCAACTCGAGTTGCCAATTGCCATGCAGCCAAGCCATGGCCAAAAATGCTCCCAAAAAGCGGAAGTAACAACAAGAACAGCAGCCATCAGCAATAACAACCATCAGCAAGGACAATCAGCAACACATGCAGCCATAAACAGAAGCGAACATCAGCAAGCAGCAGCAACTATGAGATAATTAGCAAAGTCCTAGCTGCAAGAGAACCTCTCATTAATAGCAGGAAGGCAACGAGACCGCAACGAAAACAAGAGAGAGAGTGGGAAGAGAATGGGACCGGAAACGGAAATGAGGTTGGGATTGAAAGTGAGAGTGAGATTGAGATTGAGAATGAGAATGAGAATGAGAATGAGAATGAGAATGAGATTGAGATTGAGATTGAGATTGAGATTGAGATTGAGATTGAGATTGAGATTGAGATTGGAATTGAGAATGAGAATGAGATTGAGATTGAGATTGAGATTGAGATTGAGATTGAGATTGAGGTTGGGATTGAGAATGAGAATGAGAGTGAGAGCGAGAGTAAGCTGGGGAGAGTGAGAGCGAGAGTAAGCTGGGGAGAGTGAGAGCGAGAGTAAGCTGGGGAGAGTGAGAGCGAGAGTAAGCTGGGGAGAGTGAGAGTGAGAGTGAGAGTGAGAGTAGAGTGAGAGTGAGAGTGAGAGTGAGAGTGAGAGTGAGAGGAGAGTGAGAGTGAGAGTGAGAGTGAGAGTGAGATATTCAGGTTGAGATTAAGATTGAGATTGAGAATAAGATCAAAACGAGAAACGAGAACAAAATCCCAAATAATAAGTGAACGAGAAGAATAATTGGCACTCCGGAAGTGCAACACAAATGGACACAACTGATGATGATGCACTTCACCCGAAACCAACAGACATCCGGCAATGCAAAATGGCTGAAAAATACTCTGGAAAACTGCGGTTAATCATTGCCAAAAGAAATCCCCACCAAAAAAGGCAGATAAAAGGGCAAAGAGAGGCATAATGGGAAAAATTAAGCTCCAGCTCACAGAACCAACCATAAAGACAACCGATTTTAAGGAATTAATTAATCCACTTGAAGCTTTAAGAGCCCTTTTTAAATGCAACAGAAGATACTTGACTTAAAGTAAATTTGTGCACGGAATAAGCACTTTTAAAGAGCCCAAATGGGTTTATAGTTCACTTCTGTTCGCTTGATTTACATTTTGTCATTCATTTCTTTCATTTTAAGCTTCCATCAGCGACCCAATTAGGAGAAATAAAATGGAATATTATTAGGGGCTTCATTTTGCCTTTCCCACCTCCCATTGAGCTCCGATTGCGATGCCCGCAAAGGAGCCATCAATAGATTTACGTAGGCCTGACAGCAGGCATAGTTTCCCTCTTGCGTTTTCCACGTGCTCCTGCATCGAAAGCGGATTACCGAGCGGCAGACGTAAAGCCTTTTCCAAAAGGATTTCTGTGGCTGGCAGGACAAGTGAAGGGGAAAAGTACGTGCCCGGCTCTTAGGAGAGCAAAATTCTGACCTATGGAGAGAGAAAACGGCCAGAAGCAGATACAGGTACAGGTAGGGGATACAGGCTCAGATACAGCTACAAATTCAGATACAAATTCAGATACAAATTCAGGAAAAAGGTGAGAGCAGGCGAGCGGAAAATGCCATAAAGGAAATGCACGACGGCGGAGGGAAGGACGGACGAAAGGACGGCGGGATCCATCCGTAAGTGCGGCATATTAAGGCGGGAATGCAAATGGCTGAGGGAAATGGGTCGTCAGGTGAAGCAATAGATTCTAATGCGATTTCCATGCCAAGCACAAATAAAAGCAGCCAGACTGTGGCACTACGGGCTGGGATTGAAGTTGAAGTGGTTCAGGTAGAATATAAGAAAAAAAAGATATATGGCACATATATATACAATATATATATATATATATAAGAAGCATATCCGTGAGGGGGAAACTTTGTAGACATGGAAAATGCGTGAATGTCTGCACGATACCAACACAGTCTGCTTATACTTAACCTTCTTTTCTTTTCTCTGTTTTTTTTTTTGTAGCCCTTGAGTTTGTCCCATTTCCCAAGCCTCAACCACCATCGATTGTGAATTGAATATATTGCCTTGTATTAATAATATATTATTCTAGAACACTTTGGCCCCTTTTTTTTCGGGGTCCTATACTCTTTCCACTGTTTTTGTATTCGTTTTCTGTCCCCAATTGAAATGAATTTATTACCAAATGTCCACTGAAACTCTAGCTTTTGAAAATATATTATATATCTAATAGAGATATTTATCCAACTCTGGGTTAAATTTAATATTTAACGATATGTTTCACAAATTAAATTTACACTTTTCGGCTGGAAAATGGTGTGATTTTGCGTTGGCTTAGTTTACGCTTCATTAGATTATTCCACAGCAAACAAACCCCTAAAGGCCCGCCGAAGGATATCCATCAAGCCTAAGGGAATGGGCAAAAGGACACAGACAGGGACGAGCCCAAGCTGTATTTAGTGTTTGTTTTGGGCTGCGAATTTTCTGGCCACGTTGGCAATAAACTGGCCAAAGACACTGCCCAAAAAAAAAACCGAGAGCCACTGGCTTAGGCAGATTTTTTAATTAGTTGACTTTATGCCTCACGCCTCGGCAAAGAGCAACCCCGTTCGATTTGGCCACAAGTTGCAAATAGGCAAAAATTCATGTGCCTTATCCTTTAGCCTGCCGACAAACTCATTAAAATTGAACGGCAAAAGTCCAGCAAAAAACCAAAAATTAAATAAAAAGAAAACCAACCACACACACATACAGAGGAAAATCCACGAAAAATCCCCGCCTAGTCCGATGGCAAGCATTTTTCAGTGGTTTATCTGGGGGATGGAGACAAACAACGTTGCCCTTGTTTCTGTTTCTACTGCTGGTGTTTTTCTTTTTCCTCGTCATTTTTTCTTTATTTTTTTTTCTGCTTTGCTTTTCCATTTCCCGGCTACTAACACTGTGTTTGCCTTTTTTGGGTTTGTCACTTTTGCGGTTTGCCTCGCACGTTTATCTCGAGTGCACATTGCTTCTGCCTCGGCTCCTGCCCCCCAGCTCCTGCTGAACTTTGGTCCGCCCATTTGGCATGACCTCTGCGCCCTCTCCCCCTCCTCCGAGGAGCGCGCAGCCCGACACTTGGCGTGGCTGTTTGATCTTCGTCAGCAAGCCAAACAACATTAGCAACAACAACAGTAGGGAATAGGAGCAGGAGCAGGAGCAGGAGCTGGGGTAGGAGTAGGAGCAGGAGCAGGAGCAGGAGCAGGAGCAGGAGCAGGAGCAGGAGCAGGAGCAGGAGCAGGAGCAGGAGCAGGAGCAGGAGCAGGAGCTGGAGTAGGAGTAGGAGCAAGAAAAGGCATTAGACATAGGGGAATGAGGCCAAAGTGGCTACCCATTGGTGGGCTTTGAAGTTGGCTCTGTTCCCCATCTACTTCCCCAACACTCAAAAATGTATTTCAATCTAAAATCTATATAATGCAGAAATATATCTACTTTCCTGCAACTTCTCTCTTTGAAAGAGCTCCTAAAAGTTAACAAATATTACATTTTCATATCGAAAACCACATTTAATTTCTCCAAGTGCATTCATTCTTGTGAGTGTTTTGCTTGCCTGTTGACAATTGATTACGCATACGCCGTGTGGCCCACAAAAGAAAAACACGTGCGTGGCGATATCCATCACAGCCCAGCTGGATGGGATGGAAGGATGGGCGGATGAATGTATGTTTACCCAGGTCAGAGCCATTCCAATGGATAAGTGATAACCGAATATGCGATGAATCAGCAAGCTAAGTCCTAGAGTGAAAAAAATGAATCATGGAAGGAAACTGACTTTGGGAAACTCATGTTTCTATATCCTAGCAGTTTGCAATTGATTTTTAGGATCGTATTGGAAATTGATCATAACTAAGCTTTTAATATTTGATT